TATGTTTAAAGTTTGCCAGTGAAAAATATGCAATAAATTTTACTCCTGCTATCAACTGGCTTTTTTGAATCTGACATGCTCTTGTGACAACAGATACCCTTCCCAGTTGTAATTGTTCCTATTTTTTTAGCCACAGTTATCCCTCCTCATGCTCAACAAGTTGTTACCTCCCCAACATTTCCTCGAATTTCCATTTACTTTATTAATAAAGGAAAGGCTGGGGAAGGCCTCTTCAGTATGTTAATATGGTATACACAGCAAGAGTGATCAGCCTGTCAGAGCTATAGAAACAGCAGATGGATTAGGATGAAACCAGGTGCAAAATAACTTTGATAGAGTTTTAATGTAAACAGTTTATCTGTCATTGCTTTTCATTGAAATGCTCCACAAAATGACCCAGTTTGGCTGTGAACGCTGCAGAATGCAGCTGAAAAAAAAATAATATATTGTCATACTCTATCCAACAATTAGAGAATGAGTGGATATTTTAATTTATTCATTGAGGACAGGAAAGTAAGTAGGATAACATATAAGGTTAATAGAATAGCATTGGCCTTCATATTCACAAGATTGTGTTCCCTATTTGGCTGTATTAGCATAGAGAATAGATTTATATGAAACTTCTTAGGTCTCATACAATGTGATTTTTAAAATGTTCCAGGCAAGTCTGTGTCTGTTTAGAAACATACATACTGGTTTTTTTTTTCATTGTAACTAGGCATTCTACTTTTAGTATCAAATATTTTGATTTCTGACTCCATAGAATGCCTTTATATTACAAACTAAAACTATGCTTTGAGCACACAGAGATGTTGAGAAGCACAATGTAGTACATATTGTGCTCTTTATAACTGACTAGTAGCCCTGTGCATGAATCCATGTGCCAGTAGCTCTCTGTGAGGCCTGGCTGCTCCATGCCTGCTGCCCAGAGGCTCTCCATGGCCCAGAGGCCCATTTGAGGCCTGGCATGGAATTCTTACCTTGTTGCCGCAGTAACGAAGCAAGCATTCCTCCAGGCTGCTCATGCTGCCTCTCTCAGTGACTACTCCCTTCCCCCCCCTGGAACTGGGGGACTCCTCTGGGGCTATGAGGACTGGGCGCCATCATATTTTCTATTGTGATGGAGTGACGGTTAATTTTCATATTACCTTTTTATAAGATAGGATGGCCAGATACTAGCTAATGCTCATTACATTTTGTGAATTATCCATCTATGAGAATTTTGTTATTTTTATTTGCTTAACACATTTCTCACAATGATATTAATTCAAATATTGGTGAGGATGTGCTGCTTCCACCAAGAACAAAAAAAACCTGAAATGATTATAATCTGTTACTTGATAATAGATAGCTTTCAGGTAGGACAAGCATGACTACAACCTTTATTTTCCACAAAGAACATGTAGAACATATATGGCTCTATACAGAGGATTTAGAGGATTACAGGGAGAATAGCAGCCACCCCTGGAAACGTGGGGATCACTAACCTAATTTGAATTAAAGTAGTGGAAGGAAAAGGCATCACAATATTTCCCTTTGTCATTGCTTCTGGGTTCAAGAAAGTGACTAGACATCATTGGTCTTCTCTCCTCTCTAATCACCCTACTTGTTTGGTAGAAGCATATTCTTTTCCTTAGGACTCTTCATCACCCCAATTTGGGCCCAAATCCATGACCGAAGCCTGGAGGTTCTGCCTTGGAGTCATTAGCAGCTAAAAAACCTCAGGCAATGTAACGTATGTACGTACATTTATTGGAAGTTTCCAAGTCTTAAGTTTAATCAGGGTTCTAGCATATACTAGTGGAGCAACATGCACATCCTTAGTGAAAGCTGTGTAATAAAGCACTTTGCCAAACTAAAAATATGAGATTTTGAAATTTATATTCTGGCTTTGAAAATTTTACTAGGGCTTTGGTTCAGTAAAGGAATGCTTTACTTTGTCCCCCAAATATCTGCCACCTGCTGAAAAAGATACCAGGCAGGCTACAAACAACCAGGGCCTTGTCTTTAATGGAAAACAGAATATGTCTTATTATTAAGCAGCTGTAGTATTTCTTGTATTTATTTAGCAAAATCAAAGGGCATAAATATAAGCATTATAATTAACAGAAGAGGTATTCACATTTGAGATTAGCTACCACTCCTATGTTAATTATTCAAAATTCAAGTGGATGGATAGATAAAAGCAGCAGACATTGCCAAAATGCATGGGATAATAACATATTTCTCAGGTTTATCTCATAGGGATCTTTGAAATATTAGATATAAATATTTTAAACTTGCTAATAAATCTTGTTTCTTCCTAGTGGAAGTGGATTCAGATTCCATATTTAACCTTGAATCACATATGTGTACAAATATGTGTGTATATGTATATATGTGTGTATATATGTGCATATAGTACACACACACACACATATACACATATGTATATGTAATCATGGTTTCCTTAATAACAGGGAAATGCATCATTAGGTGATTTAATGTTTAAGGACCATGATGACCAAAACAACACAAGATTAAATCAAGCACAAGGGAAAATGGTTCAGTCAAGAGATGCTGCATGTATAAGGCTGCTTGCTGTGAGCTGAACAGAGTATACTATTTTATAGTAAATTTTTCTTTATAAGTAAAATGAGTACACTCAAAAATAATTATAAAAACTATAGTATAGTAAATACATAAGCCAGTAACGTAATTCTCTATTATTATTATCATGTGTTATGTACAGTGCATGATTATATTACTATACTTTTAAATGACTGGCAGTACAGTAGGTATGTATACTTCAGCATCACCACAAACATATGAGTAATGTGTTGTGCTACAATGTTACAATGGCTATGAGGTCAATAGAGGAAAGGAATTTTTCAGCTCAATTATAATCTTATGCCATCATTGACTTAACTGCTGTTAAGTGCTGCAAATATGACTGTATCCTACCTTATAAAAGAGCAATATGCAAATTAATCACAACTTCTCTAAAGCCACACCCACCAGCCACGCCCACCATCCAATCAGATAGGGTATGTAAATTAACCCCAGCCAAGATGGCTACAGCCACAGAGAGCAGTTGAGAGTCTTGGATTTCCCCGGCAACAGAAGCCAAGCTTTCCACACACCCTGACCAGCCTAGGCCTCCACTCAAGGCTACAAAGTTTCAATTGTAGAAGGTAAATAAATTCCAGATACCAGGGCCTCCATTTGGGTCACCAGGGGACATGGCTGGTCTGAAAACCACCACAGGTCCCTCACCCAGACCACCCCACACCCTAAGGGAACCCCCACCCTGATATAGGACACCCTTTAGGGCAAACTAGCTGGCCCCCACCCATGCACCAGGTCTCTATCCTATCTAATAAAAGAATAATATACAGATTGACCATCACTCCAACACACATGATGGTTACCCCCATGTGGTCAAAGATCTTGCCCCCATGTGGACACAAGATGGCCACCACAAGATGGCCAGCAGGGGAGAGCAGTTGGGAGGGGCCAGGCCTGCAAGGGAGGGTAGTTGGAGGCAATCAAGCCTGCAGGGGAGGGCAGTTAGGGGTGGCCAGGCCGGCAGAGTAGGGAAATTGGGGGCAAACAGGCAGGTAGGGGAGCAGTTAGAATCAATCAGGCTGGCATGGGAGTGGTTAGGTGGTACCAGGTTGGCAGCAGAAGCTATCAGGAAGGCAGGCAGGTGAGCAGTTGAGAGCCAGCAGTCCTGGATTGTGAGAGAGATGTCCAACTAGGCTGAGGGACATACATCACCTTGCATGAATTTCATGCACCGGGCTTCTAGTATTAAATATTATTCTATAGCCTCAAAAAGTCTAGGCAAGTACAAGTTTGGTTCTTATTATCTAATTATGCTTCAAAAGTATGGAAAAAAAAAGTCATCACTAAAACCTCCAGATTCTTAAACAGTTTGATAGACTATAGCCATTCTATCATCATCACCCCCAGCTGTGTTGCTTAGCAACATTTTAATTTCAAAATAATTGAAGGAAATGTAATCCCTGTGGAGAGGAAAACAGAAATCAGAAGGCTATTAACAGATGATCTGAGTTGTTTCTTCTAATATACTGTGAAGATCACTATCTCTTTTCCTGAATGATAAATGAACTATATACAGATCAATGAGTTCAGCAATAAACTTGAACTAGATTTCATGTCTTAGGCAGTGCAGGCTGAGAGGCCCAAGATTTTTTCATTTCAATGATTTGGTGTGTTTTCTTTTTTATTTTTATTTTTTAAAATATATTTTATTGATTTTTTACAGAGAGAAGGGAGAGAGTTGGAGAGTTAGAAACAGCGATGAGAGGGAATCATCCATCAGCTGCCTCCTGCACATCCCTTACCGGGGATGTGCACGCCACCAATGTACATGAATCGAACCTGGGACCTTTCAGTCCGCAGGCCAATGCTCTATCCACTGAGCCAAACCGGTTTCAGCTGGTGTGTTTTCTTAAAGGTTCCACTGGAGTACAATGATCTAAGCATTCTGTCATCCCTTGTCCTTTTGTAATGTCTGCTAATAAAAATTATTTTAGAAATGGATATGTTAGCCTTTTTGTCACCATGCAGGTGCAGCCAGGTGTCAGTAGTAATGCATGGTAAGTGACTCCCTACCACAGATGCAGATGCTTTGCATCTATCACCCCTCCTGTCATAAAAACTAAAGGACCACACAGGGGAATATTAGAATGAAAAGGCTGGAAGGGGAGAATCCTCTTGTGAATCTAAGCATTACTCCTATGGTCATGGCTGAACTTTCCGGGCAGCCCTGACAATGCCCACCTGTGTCTGAAAGATGTACTTAGGAATGTAACCATGTTCCCTGGAAGAGTAAAATTGCTTTCTGTGTCTACAGTCTGCTTATCTCCAGCAGCCTGCTTCAGTTAGCTCTCTTTATCTTTCTGAAGAACATTTTATGTTGTTTATTGTTTTGGTAAATAGTTGCAAAGGTTATGCTTGCTAATGTCTAATTGCATTTTTCCTTCTGTTTACAGGCTGTTGAAAAGGCAAAACCTAAGAATAATCCTGTGAAGTAAGTTATTTTTTTATTAGTTGAAAATTGTAATTTGAATAAACTCCATGCATGTCAAAAAATAGTCATAAATGAGACCTTGGATTTTGAGTTAATCTCCATTCATGACAATTTAAAAACAACAAAAAACACACACAAACAAAAATACCTCCAATAAATCAGGACCAGCATTTTTAGGATGTGTGTGTGTGTGTGTGTGTGTGTGTGTGTGTGTGTGTGTTTATTTCTTCCTGTGGTCGTTATCCCAAAGTGTCCTAAATTGTGTCCAGTTTACATAAATTAATACGTGCCATCCATGAGTAACTGCCAAATACTATTATAATCATATTCAATGCATAGTGCTTTGAGTCTTTGGGTTTTTCACATGCTAAAAAGCTTAAATTTTAATTGCAAATCTTGGACCAATGACAGAGATGTAAATAGCTGAAAATGGGCCAAGTGTTTTCCAGCCATGAGGGGGAGGTTCGGCACCTTGGCATCAAGGCCTCATGACTCTGTTTATGAAAAACTCTTGTACTATATTTAACTATCAGTTTTTCTAGCTAACAGATAGTTATTTCTAAGGTGTTTTATGGTATACTCTTTAATTATAAAGAAGGTGTAGGACAGTCTTTTAAATATAGACATCCTGTCCTTCCAGAAGGGAGATTTTCAAATTAAGAAGGGTATGTCTTGTCATTTGGGTTCCTGACATCTGATTGCAGTGTTGTTTCACACCAGTCCTCCTAGTCATGTGGCCTAGAGAAAGAAGATCTGCTATATCTGCTGGGTTACTATAGGTCTGGTAATATCATATCTTTAGGAACTATGTGTTAACTTATCTCCGCTAACTTCCATTATGGTGGGTACCCGATATAGAAAAGAAGAGTGCATTTACTTCTAATAGTTCCTGGGAGAATGAATCAGCTAATGCCAATGACAAGAAGGCTGTTTGCATTTTGGAAAATAATTAACTGTTTCAAGTTACTAGGGTAGTGTTTAGCATAGTATTAAATGTAAATTCTAATTCTTTTTCCAAAAGGTTTGATGTACTTTTATTTTCAAGTTGAATTTTTCTTAAGCCACAGAATATTCCTTGTTGGGATTCTGTAGCCTTTGGAACATCTGTAATCTAGAAATGTATTATGCTGTAATCATCCATTGGAAGTAGTTTTAGATGCTGCATTTTTCTCTGGGTGTTCAGTTGGGGATTTAATCTTCTCTGCAGCCTGATTTCTTTCCTATCTATGTCCAGAAGGCTTCTGTGCTGTAAGCGCATAACAGGTGAGCTTCATGAATTAGAGCATGGTGCTAATGAGGCCAAGGCAAGGACTGTAGTCCCTGAGGGAGCCATCAGTAATCTTTCCCCTAATATGACTGCATGTGCCCCTCTTTGGTCTACCCACATGCAGATGTGCCCCCCAGGTCAAAAGGGATTGGACAAGTGCTGGAGGCATGTACATATAGGCTGTCGATAGGACAAACACCTCCAAATTCAAGCCCTCTCAATAGGGAGTCCCAACCTCCATCTTGGCATATACAAGAGTGCCCATTGGTAGTGTGTGGAGCTGCATTAGATCATAATCTAGTGGCTGGAAAGTAGGGTTGTTTTTTTCCCCTGCTCCTTGTGAGGATTTAATCCTACAAATAATTACATTTTTACTAGAGGCCCAGTGCATGAAATTTGTGCATGGGGGTGGGAGTATTTCCATCACTTGGGCCCAGAGATAAACTGTTCATCAGTTTAGGCCTGGTGGGATCAGGCCTAAATGGGCAGTCGGACATCCCTCTCACAATCCAGGACTGCTGGTTCTCTACTCCTCACCTGCCTGCCTACCTGATTGCCCCTAATTGCTTTTGCCTGCTAGACTGATCACTCCCTAGCCACTCCCCTGCCAGCCTGATTGTTGCCTAACTGCTCCCCTGCTGTCCTGATTGCCCCTAAATGCCTTCTCCTGCTGGCCTGGTCACCCCCAACTGCCCTCTCCTGTAGGCCCGGTTGCCCCCAACTCCCATCCCTTGCAGGCCTGCCCCACCCCAACTTCCATCCCCTGCCAGCCTTGTCACCCCCAACTGCCCTCCTTTGATAGCCTGGTATTCTCTAACTGCTCTTCCCTGCTGGCCTAGCCCCCACAATGCCCTCCCCTGCAGGCTTGCTCCCTCCAACAGCCCTTCCCTGCAGTCAAGGGCCCCCTCCAACTGCTCTCTCCAGCAGGCCTGATTGCCCCCAACCACCCTCTCTTGCAGGCCTGGTCCCTCCCAACTACCCTCCCTTTTTAACCTGATCGCCCACAACTGCCCTACCCTACTGGCCATCTTATGTCCACATAGGGGTGGCCATCTTTGACCACATTGGGGTGGCCATCCTGTGTGTTGGAGTGACAGTCAATTTTCATATTACTCTTTTATTATACAGTATGAGCTCTTATTAATTTACAGTGCAACTCTAAGTCTGTCACTTTAAGGAATATTCTAAAGAAAAAAACAGGAAAACTAAAAGAGCCAAATAATTTGTAATAAAATATGTAGATTTATACTTTTAAATATATTTAAAAATCTGCTTAGTAATAAGCCCACATCACAGACATCTGGTAGAGGCTTAGAATTGTCTTCTAAGTTGATTAGATACTGTTCTCAGTGTGAGTTTGGGTGTCCTGTTACACTGGGACTCACAATATGTAACTCACTTGCCTAGCCACAACCATTGGAGCACATTAAGTAGAGAAGTCTACTCAACTCAGGGACAGAAATTCCAAAGCCTGGCTCAATTACACAGCCTGACAGCAGAGCAGAAGTGGAGTTTTAAAATGTTTTATGTACAGTGGTTCTCTTTTCATTTCTTCTGTCTGCCAGAGAATTTCAGTTATACACAGTACACAGGGAAATTAAATAGAGTAAGGGTTCAATACATGCACTCTGAATGAATGAACAAGTAAACAAATTGGATATATCCCAGAGAACAGTCCTTACAGGATCCTGGTCTGGATGTTTAATGAGACTGGTGGCTCTACACTAGTGGAGTACCAGATAAGAAGGGCCAATGTGTTCTAACTAACCAAGTTGTTCAGTCTCTTATTATTGAATCATGTAAAATAGTCACATGTTGCTCTAGTTCTAGCTCTTCTGCCTCTGATTAGTTACTGGCTTGATTTGTTTTACGCAAGAATTGACAATAGTGTGGGAAGGCTTGGGGAGGGGAAGGGAACAGGATCAAAAAGGGACATCTATAATACATTCAACAATAAAGATAAAATAATTAACATTTGATTGTTTAAGCATACAGTCTTGCTGAAAAAGTAGAGGCATCATTTATAGTTAAAGTATGAACACACATTGGTGAAGATTATTTTATGTGCAATTGGATATCATCGTCATGTGCAATATTTGGCAGATGGTTGAAAAAAATTTAAAAAAAGAAGAATATTTTGTCACATGTGAAAATTACAAAAGTTCAACTTTTAGTGTCTACAAAAAAAGTTTTATTGTTACACAGCTACATTAATTTGTTTACATACTGCCCATGGCTCCCTTTGTGCTATAGTAGCAGGGTTGAGTAGTTACAAGAGAGATTATACAAAGCCAAAAATATATACTATGTGTCCCTTTACTGGATAATTTTGCTAACCCCTGCTCTAGTTGGTCAGGTAGAAAATGGCACAGATTTAAACTCTTCCATGACTGTAAAGCTTAAACTATCAACCATTTCTCTTTCTGCAGTTTAAAACATTGAGGAGGTATTTGCTGAGCCCTTATCATTTGTTTTGGAATTTGTGAGGCTGATGTACCATCTAATTCTCATTCAGTGAAGAGAGATCACTCTTAAATCACTATCTTTGAAAGTTGTTATGGATATAAGATCCATTAACAAGGAAGTGATGCGCCATAAACCAGTGAACATATAGCTATAGCATACTGCTAGTTTGCCAAGTTGTGTGTAGATGGATATATTGAAAAAGTATATGCATTTTCTAAAATTCTGTTGTTTCCCAAGATCTAACTAAGGCTAAGTACACTTTCATTAGAATAATGGTAAATGATTCACAATATCCATCTATTTTGTATATTTTCCTGTCTAAAGGTTGAAATTCCCCTCCCTATTTCTCAACTATTTGTTCAGTTTATTTTTAATACCCTCATGATTGCAAGTTTCTTTCATCACCATAGGGAGATTGTAGTACACATTAATTACACTCCATATAAAAGAAATTAAATTTATGCTTATTTAATGTAATCACATAATACACTCAAATACACTAATGACTTTACCTTGAAACATTAAATATTACCTTTGAGAGTAAGAATCAAAATTGAATGTTCTTAAGATCAGTTATCAGGGAAAGAGATTCTGGGGTATTTTTCAGCCTATTAGAATCATGCCTGTATCAAACTTGGTTAGTAGGTTCAAACCGTGGATCTTTAATGTGTCACAGAGACTTTCACTTGGATATACAGGTTCTGCAGCAATTATATCCAAATATTCATTGTGACAACAGGTCTGAGAGATATACAGATTTCTTCTACCATATGTGACTCATCACATACATTAAAAAAAAATTCTGTTTTTAAGACACTAGAGGCCCAGTGCATAAAAATTCATGCACTGGAGTTGGGGAGGGGGGGTCCCTCAGTCTGGTCTCCCCCCTCTTGCAGTCTGGGAGCCCTCAGGGGCAGGAAATGACCTGGCAATCAAGAGAAGGCAACACCCCCATCACATCTCTGCTGCTGCCACATGCAGGCAGTGCAAGCCTGAACCAGCCTTGGTTACCTGAGCCTCGTGTGGCCCTGGGCAGCTGGGCAGCCACCATCCAAGGGTTGCCTGCACCTCAGGCTGGCCCTGGGTGGCTGGGTGACTGAGGGGACTGTGGGACTCTTGAGGCAGGTGTGTGGCAAGGCCAGGCCAACCTGGGGGCAGGCCCGGCCTTGCCATGTACCTGCCACCCTGGCTGGGTTGAGAAGACTGGGTGCTGCTATCTTGTGGCTGTGGGCACTGCCATCTCTGAGGACATGGAAGTAAATTAGCA